CATTACAATGGATCGTGAGGATGAATGGATTTAAAAATCTTCTTGTTTGAGCCGGTCTGCATTTCCTGATGAGCCAAAACAAACCTTAGATTCTTTGTAGTGGCAGTCAGTGGTGGTAGGTGGGCGTCTGAGCGAGGGGGTACCACCGCTAGGCATACCCCCACTTCTATTTGCAAGCCATGATTTCTTCCTTTTTAATAGCTCTAATTCATCCTAAAAAATCATTGCCGAGTGTTATACAGTTGCCAAGTGTGTGTTTGTTGTAATAATGACGAAACACATAATAGGCAGATTTCACAATAATTTATAATAAAAACGTAGCTCACAGCAATTTTTTTATGCAACTTGATGTGAAGGTGTGTGTGTGTGAGGCAGAACTGTGTCTGTGAGGGGTGACCAGGTGTCGCATGTGCGGGAACTGCACACACAGCATTTTTTATTATTTGTCCCGCGTCCACCACATTGAGACTCATGTCGCATTTGAGTGATAGTCGCGCAGAAGGCCGGATCGGTTTCGTGACAGCGGCACGCTTTATGTATTATATTGTTCTAAACGGCATCATGTAAGTTCGCGTGACAGGCGACACAGGAGGTCGCCCGAAGCCCCCCCGTTGGACAGTTCACGAGGCGCTCCATAAGTGTCTCCCGTCCACCCACGCACCCGTCCAACCCGTAAACAACTCCACTCACACTGGTTGTAGTAATGCACGCCACAACATGGATTAAACGTGTGTTTTTTTTTACCACAATGTTGGGAAATTAATGGTAAAAATGCACGGATTATTATTATTATTATTTCCCACTCCGACGGGACACTAGGTCCACGTTTCCCCGCACGGCGACGGATCCCCCGTTGGACAGTTTAAGTGGCTGGGCTGGGTGCAGTGGCGGATGGGCATCGAGGGACGAATCCCGATGGCCGGGTACCGAAGTGGGCCGGTCGGATAAGTCACTAGCACATCCCCCACTCCCCCCGTTGACAATTTACTAGTGGTACCGAAGTGGGCCGGTCGAGAGTCCCGGGCTGATTTTTAGTCCCAGTCCACCACTGGCTACATGACCGTATGATCGCCCATATTGACGCACCTAATTCCTAAACTTCTAACAGATACAAAATAAACCGATCCTTCAGCCTCATATGAGCTCTCAGACACGTTCAAAATTAAACTGTCATCGCTGTCTGAGCTTGCTGCTGTGTCCGCCATCGTGCGTTTACATGCAGATGCTGGGATCCTGAACGGTGCAGCTGGAGCGCTGTGCCCGCATTGACGTCACCCATAATTTGGCGGGACTTGAAGAATCCCCGAGAAGATCCAGGAAATGGTCAACATTGAAGGGCAGATTAATGGTTATCAAAGTACAAATATCCAAAATCAGTTCAGTAACGGTTTTCAAGGGGACAATATTTACTCAAATTGATGGGTTTGGATGATGGGGGAAAATCGTGTCACAGGCTCTTTAAGTTAATTTTGTTGCCAATAATTCCATTCGTTTACATAAGTGAAATCTCAAATGCATGACTTTACTTAAGTTTAAGATCTGAATGTTTTTTTCAACCACTGTGTTATTAAACACAAAGCACATACATCAAACTGAAGTGTTTTATAATGCATCTTTTGACCACCACAATCCAACCTAAAATTGAGACTGACATTTGTCCCAGCTGGGTTATAATTTATTCGCCCTGTCCCTGATGTTTTGGTGTTTGCTTAAATGGCTGAGCCTGTGCGAAAATGTTAAACGTGCTTGTCCTATAGCATGCAGACTCAACACATTCTCTTTCTATAATTGGCACTCAAGCCCTGAAACACAAACAAATGCATAAGCAATAAGGCAAATAACAATAAGACCCACATATTTCTTTTTTTAGCTCAAATGCACTGTGTGCCGTTTGCAGATCAAAAAAGAATCATTGTGCATTTGCTGTTTGATCTGACCTTCAGTAGATCCGGGCCTCAACACAGAGAGATGAATGATGTAAGTTAGAGTGTGTGCATGTGTCAGAGATGAACAAGAGGCAGAATAAGCTGGATAAAGAGAAGGACTCCTATTGAAGACTGCAGGGCATGACCCCGTCCACACTCTGACGCGTTTTCCTGCAAGAAAAGTCAACAATACATGTTCTTTTTCCAAAGCAAATGATTCATCACTTGTATATCAAGAACTTATGAATTAAGAAAGATAATGCCGTACTTAAAGCGTTTTATACTTACTAAGGCACTGTAGTCAAAGCATGATGCTGGGCCTTTACGATATCGCGCGTTTCTCAGTACTTCGCATGGATTCTCCTCCTGAACTGTTAGTGTTTTGTTAAGGGAGGTAACAGTGAACTAACTAGCTGCATAACATTGATAAGACGTCCACTTTCAGCTGGAAAAGGATACACTCTGTCCTCATCAGTGTCAGTCTCTCTATCTCACATGAGCTGCAGGGGAGCGTCTCCGCGACCACAAAGAGGAGGTTGGTGTTTTCTATCCGCTTCGCGTGGAACAGCCTGTTGGAGACAGTGATGGGTATTAATCAGACTTCCCGCAGAGTGTGCTGTACGGGTACGAGAGCACAAACACTTTCTGCTGACGCTCCAGACAAACCCACCGGGAGCAGTTCCCGCAGTCCTGCAGCACGTTGTAGGAGTTAGTGGTGTTTGTAAAGTAGAACTGGCTTTGGATGGTCACACAGCTGCTTTCCCTTGTCTCAAAACCATCAACCAGAAGATCATCTAGAACACAAATATATCCAAATTGTACATTTTATATTATGTGTGTTATATTCTTATATCTCAATTGGCTTTTTAACTGAGGCTAAAACTGCAACCGTTAAGTACATATGCATTTAAATGTTGTTGTTTACGGTTATCATGGTTCAAGAACGCACATTATTGTTAGCAAAATCCCCTTTTAATGGGTTCATCCTAGTACATGTTTAAAACAACAAAAGTGATCTGCTGATTAGATGTTAATAAAAGTTAAGTTTTACCATTTGCTTGATTCAAACGAATAAAAAGCGATTGAAAGGAGCCTTAAAAATCCCTCAATCCAATAATCAATGCAGACATAACAAAATAGTGTGTTAAGATGCAGACATCCACCTTGGTAGAACCAGCTGTTGTATGCCAGTCCATACAGGAGCTGCTGGGTCACAGACCTGAAAGAGTGTGCACAATGCACTTCATTAAAAATGAAATACAATCTGTAAACATCAATCTGTCACAGCTAAAGGGACATTGGGCTAACAATAACCCCTCTGGGTCCATTTGCAGAGGTCTTCAAACAGTTTTGTTTTACAGGGCACCTCGCATGTATTGTGTCAGTTAACAGTAAATAAAGTCTCACCATGCCACTGTGGACGTCCACCAGGCCAAGCTGAGGATGTCAGCAATGGACGGCTGTAGAAACACACAGTAGTTACAGATAAGAGCTTTCAAATATATATATCAAAACAATTAAAAAAGGCCCTGGATCTAAAATCTGCTGCTGGTCTCTCACCACAAAGATGCCCCTCGTTGCTGAACCCGTTTGGCTGTCGTTAACCGGTTCACATGCAGACTGGAAGTGGAAAGACTGACGGCGATTGAAGATTGAGTTGTTGTAGAGAGCGTGCATCAAGTAAGGGTCCACATCACCGAAGAAAAGGCCAATCTGAACGAAAAGAAAGTGCATGAGGGAACAGTGACACATGAACTGTATTTATGCTTAGTACTTTTGCTTCATGTTTATTTATTTTTCGAAAACTAAACTAAACTGCTTAAACGTAAGGAAATGTACTTGACTTCAGAGTCATTTAGTTGAGATCAATAATGAATAATACATATGTATTGCATAATTTCTTCTGAAAGTAAGTATAATATGTACAAGCAAGCATATCACCACACAAACAGACCTTTTTCCAGTGATCTCTCTGATTGGACATAACCAGAAATCCACCATCATCGAGGAGATAGCAGAGGAGGTCCTACAGACAACACAGCACAGTTCACACATTTACAGAAAACACTTTTATTCACATGCGTGTTCCTTCGAGTAATCTCGAGGTTATAGGTGTAATTTATCCTACATTTTGAAGAAAAAGGTGTCTTATACCTGGAGTACAGATCAAAAATACTCCCAATAAACACAAATTAGTAATCAAAGTGGAAATGTCCGACCCCTTAGCTTTTTGAAACGTGGTCTCTTTAACAATATAGTAATAACTCTGCAATTAATAATACAATTATAGTAACAAAAGTGGAGACAGTATCTGGCTGTAGTACGAAGACTTCCACAGGCTAGTTGTTGTGAGATTAAAACAGAGAAAGTTCTTACATCAGTGTTCACTTCACAGTCCATCTCACAGCTTCTGGATGGTCCACACTGTTTTGACAAAATGTGTAATGAGACAGTGATGTCACTTCTGTCACAGTATATGTAGTGTAATTAAGTGATTCATATTAGTAAGTTATCGCCCTGTGCTGTACCTTCTGTGAGCCCTGTCGACTGTCCGACACGTTGCTGGCCAGGATCTTAAACTTGTCCACCCATGCCTCCAAGTCCAGCTTCACCCCGACCACTGAGTCAAAACATCCACCAGAGCAAAGAGAGGAAGAGGAGGGCAAGAAAAGTTTTTCAGTGAGAAGAAGAAGTACAAGTAGCTGAAATATCTTTAAACATATTTTAGATAAAAAACGTTTCTTGGAATACGACATGACACAGGATGCAACATCAAGTTTGCAAGATAAAAGCATTGTTCTTACCTGAAGGTTTGAGCAGTTTGCCTCCTAAATTAACCTCCACAGCCGAACTAACAAGAATTCCAACCGTGCCGTTTTCTCCACCAACAAGGTCGTCCAATGCTGGTCGAAACAAAATGTGATTTAAAAACAAATGATTTGGACATGATTTTAACAGATTGTACGTCTGATATGTGTTCAGTTACTCACAGGATCTCGATGGAGCTCTAAACATGTAGCCTTTGTTGTCGAGGCTCCGTCTGTAGTAGTTTGAATTGAATGGTTCAGGATCCTCAGCCCATAACTCAGCAGCTCTGTATCAAACAAAAAACACAAACCGTTAAATGTTTTAAGAGAAATGTTTATAGACAGAATATCAGTGGGATTACTGCATATGTACTAGCTTTAGTAAGTTCATTAGTGTTACTCACATATTGGGAAAAACACGTGTTATTCCTCCATCAGTGGACGCAAATACAGCCAGGAAGCCATACCTTTGAGAAATGTGTTTTTAATTAGCCATTTTGTTTGATTTAATGGTGACATCATAATAGTAGATTCCTGTTTCTGACGGTGTGAGAATGTTTTATGAAGCAAGTCGACTCACGAATTCAGGTCCTTGTTCTTCCAAACACGAGAGGCCAGCTGCCCGATAATCCTGGAATCCAAAATCAGGTTATGGATGAGGCCTTGGTCACCTGAGAGAAAAACAAGTGTATTATCTCTTTGGTGTCTCTGCAGCAGTGGCAAATATTGTAAACACCTGAATGCTGTTAACACACTCACACTCATCAGATTCTGGAGAAATTTCCAGCATGAGCGAGAGGAAGTTCTGCAAAAACTGGGTGTTGTTGTCAGAAAGATGCAGACGTTTGCAGTATTCCCTGGAGAAGGAGAATTAATAAGAACTTGTTGTACTTTCACACTGAGAAAGAGTGAAATCAAGAGAGTAAGGTGAGATGGTCACCTTGGAGCAAGAAACACATGTCCTGAAGATTCAAAGGAGCTGGGCAGCAGGGACTGCATATCTGTAACAGAAACAGTATTTCATTTATTTAAAAAAATTAACAAAAATACCAACAAATAATCACAGTTATCACATTAAATTGAAGTAAGTTTACAAAATAGAAAAAAAGACATATGTAAAATAAAAAGGGTGTTAGACTTTAAACCAGAATTATTTGATTGTGCTGCATGACCATGAAAGTTGCTGTGATTGATACATAGCAGTTTTATGCAGAAATCACCTCAGGGAACAAACAACGTTAGATGCAAATAATATATTTTTTAAATGCCAGACTTGCATAATACTATACATCTGTATACAGTCAGCCTTTTGCTTTCATATTTTCTTTGTGTTACTATTTAATAACAAAAAGTAACTCTGCACTTCTGTACTCACACTGGAGCTGCAGCATCACATCACTCAGGTCTGCCTGGATGAAGTACTCGTTGTAGGTGGGTAATACCAAACCAAGACTGAGGGTGGCGACATCACGACAGAGAGAGAGAGAGAGAGAGAGAGAGAGAGAGAGAGAGGAAGGGAGAGTGAATCCATCTGTGTGTGCAGTCTTCATCGGGCCACAGCTGGTTGGTTATTATTTTGTTATTGTAACATTGTAATGCTTACCTGTAATCTGTACCGTTGATGGGAGTCCAGGTGTAACTCCTGTAGACGTCATCAATGTACTGCTGCAGTAGAGGAGACATTTAGGGACATTTCAGTCAACCCAACACAACAGGCTGCAGCTTTATTTTATAGAACATGTGTTTCAAGTATTTTGAAGTTGTTTTAATAGTATGTGTTTCTTCAATCCTTACAATGATGGCAAGACAGCTGATGAACAACATTTTAGCTAAGTTACCGTTCTTTAATGTTGTGACTAAAGAGGTGAGATATTTATATAATTAAGTAAAGATAATTTACTTGCCTCATCAATCGACTTGACAAGGGTTTTGACCTGCATTTCACCTGGTCTTCCATCAATCATTTGTCGCCGGATCTAGAAAATGAAAACACAAATCCTTTTCTTTTTCAGCCACAACCATGAAATCAAAAACACGTGCAGTGAGGCCTTGAGTTAGGCAGATTGTAAGCAGATGTTATTGTTTGCACGGTAAGACTTTGAACGATAACAACGACACGAAACAGGAAATGCCTGAGACATTTCAGTTTGACCTGCCACGAAGTGCTCACCTCCTCTTTATTAACGTCCTCCACCTCTGCATCCAGGAAGTCCAGCGTCACAGGCTCCAGGAAGTTCACCAGCTGGGAGGAGGCAAATTGATTTTGAATTCACATCAAATATAGAACAGGTTAACCAGCATCATAATAAACTATGTCTTCCTGCAAACCACAGTAAAATATTTATATTTTTTAATTAAAATAAAGACCACCTTTGGCTGAAGATTAGGGTGAAGGAGAAGATATCCATTTGGATCGATGGCATATATGTAGCCATTGGCTCCAAGCTGTTGATAAAAGAGAGGAATAACAGTGATGTGTTTGTCTGTTGCCTCCATCACAAGTACAAGTGAGTAATACATGTATGTGATCTACATACATTGTACCGTGGTGTAAGTCGCTTTATCTCGTCAAGATGCACGTCGACTCCCATAACACCTAAAATCAGCTGATTCTGGTCAGACAAAAAAACATCAATCTGATTAACTTGAAAGGACCTCACGAGAACCAGCGTTTCGTTTGCTCCTTCAGGGCTACTGTAGAAACATGGCAGTGTTGCTGAATTAGAAGATTGTGTGTGAAGATTTCCACACACAAGTTTTCATATATCACACTATGATGTTGTTCATATAGATCCTTCTCCTGGACACATTCTCAATCTTAAACATTAGTCCTTTAAATGTAGTGATTTACTAATCTATGATCTTATACGACATAGCTACATTCTGCATTTGAAAAAGAAAAGGGACCACAAGCTTAAACAAAACAGAAATCCACATTATTAAACACTTTCTTTCATATAAAAAAAACAGTTTTGTTACCTGTGAATTTCCATCCATGGTGAGATTAAACACAGGCAAAGTCCCAGTTACTACCATGCCAAGACCCTATAGAATCAAAAGACAAAACCCAGATTACATAAAATGCAAGATTACTTACTAACTGTGTATAATCTGTATGTTTGGTGCATTTATTATATTTGATCACATTCAGCCAACATGGTCTTGCAGTCTCACCAAAGCATCCTGATACACATTGGTCCACTGAACCTGCTTGGCTTCGCTGCCTGCCAGAACCATGGGGCGCCCCAGCACGTCCAGGTATTCCTGAAAAAACCAAGGGATACGTGACCAACAGCAGCTCCGAAACAACCAACAACAACAGGGCCGCGGGGAGAAAGGAAGGGTAAAACAAATTGAAGTAGATGTTTTTTCAAAAAGAGTGAGCCCCACAAGGAATATTTGAAACAGTGAATGGGGATCAGCTGTGTCAGAGGCACTAGACGAACCCACCTGGGTGTTAATCCTTATAGCACAGATGGAACGGATCTCAAAATAGTAACCTGGCAAGCAACAGAGAAAAAAAGACAAACAGAGAGAAGAGAGCATGAGTGAGCGATGCTATCAGAAAAAAAAGAGTGGTGTTCATAAATATTCAAGATTTTACTCGATGTTACTCGACCAGTGACTCAGCCACTTCACTCCCGCAGAAAGAGAGCAGATTCCCTCACTGGGCATCAAGGTTTATCTTATTGTCTTTAATCTTATTGACTTATAGTTTCAGCTCTACAATGAAATCCAATGATCGTAAGGTATACTGGCAATTACCAGGTTCAGTCCTTTTAAAAAAACTAAAATAACATTAATTTCATAAAACCACATTTTTCATAATGCATTGCATGTATCATCTTTGGGTATGAAGTTCATCACTATTGGAGGTAGCAAACCTGGTGTTGCTTAAGGTATCATATCTGATATATATAACAATATAATAGGACTATTTAGTTTTAGTTGAACTCATAAAAAGGCAATAAATGAACATTCCCCACTCGGATACAACTTGTTCTCCCTCAGTTTGAGTCCACCCTATTTTATCAGAATAATAACAAAAGCCTGCCCTCGAGGATTAATGTTCTGTGAGGACAAAAGTGAACTCTTCGACACCATCAATCACTCCATCCCCCTCACCCGTCTTGAAACCACCTTCAACATCACAGGCACTGCCCTCTCTTAGTTCACATCATACCTCTCTGACAGACACCAGTTCATCTACATCAATAACTGCAAATCCCCCACCGCTCCTCTACCCCAAGGTGTCCCTCAAGGCTCAGTTCTCGGCCCCCTCCTCTTCATTCTCTACCTGCTTCCCCTTGGTCACATAATCCGCCGTCATGGACTTCAATTCCACTGCTTTGCCGACGACATCCAGCTCCTCATCTGCACCAAGTCCATCTCCGCTGATACCCACTCCATTCTGACAAACTGCATCACTGAAATAAAAGGCTGGCTTCAACTCAACTTCCTCAAACTCAACTGGGATAAATCTGAAATAATCATCATTGGACCTAAAAAGCTCAGCACATCCATCCAAAACTTCACCCTCAACATCAACGGTTTCCCAGTTCCAACCTCCCCTCACATCCGGAACCTAGGCATCATATTTGACCAAACCCTCTCCTACAACAGATACATCAAACAGATCACAAAGACAGCCTTCTTCCACCTCAAAAACATCGCCCATCTACGTCCATCCCTCTCCCCCAGTGCTGCAGAAACCCTCATCCACGCCTTCATCACCTCCCATCTGGACTACTGCAACAGCCTCCTCTATGGTTTCAACCTCAAAAATCATCAATAAATTCCAATACATCCAGAACTCTGCCGCCTGTCTACTCACCCACACCCGAACCCGTGACCACATCACCCCCGTCCTCATCAAGCTCCACTGGCTCCCCATCCCCCAGAGAATTCAGTACAAGATCCTCCTCACGACATAAAAAGCCCTCCATAACCTGGCCCCATCCTGACTGACTGACCTCCTCCACAGATACACTCCCACTCGCTCCCTCCGCTCTGCTGCTGCCAACCTCCTGTCCCCCACCCACCCGGACCAACCTCAGGTCCTGGGACGACAGAGCCTTCTCCGTTGCTGCACCCACCCTCTGGAACTCACCACCCCAACCCATCAGAGACTTTTCCTCCCTCACCGCATTCAAAAAAATCACTCAAAACCCACCTGTTCAACAATGCATTCAACCTCTGACTACCCCGCCCCCTCTTTTATTTATTTATTTATTTATCTCTTTATGTATTTTTCTACATTTTCTGTTTTATTCTCTGTCAAAGCGTTTTGGGGTTTTTAGAAAAGCGCTATATAAGTGTCATGTATTATTATTATTACTGTGCTCAACTAAAACATCCTCACTAACACAAGTTCTCCTGAAAGATCAATGTCAGCTCTCAGCCAAGAGTAAATCAAATCTCCGCGAACAAAAGTGACCTCTGCGTGAGCGCTGTGAAACCACAGTGGTCTGCTCACTGATCTGAGAGGAAGCCCATTAGTGAGGTCAGTGCACTGCACTCTACTTTAGACTCAGTGATTTATTTATTTGTTCCTCTGTCTCTGCATTGATTAATAAATGTACAGCAGACATTTCTTTAAAAGTATGGACTGAGTGGGCAGCGATGAATTTAAAGATTATCTGCTCAGCTAAAAATACTTGCGCTCAATTTACTTTTGATGTTTTTTACTCAAGGCAGAGCACAGCCATTATAGTCAAATGTTTTGGAGTCCACTTTAAAACTCATAAATTAAGATATGATGAAACATATTTCACTGAGGAAAACAAAAAGCAACATAGTGTTGAATCTTGGTTTAATGCTGGTCTTTAGTTTACTACTAGATCATTCACTAAGATGCCCTTCAAACTGAGTGAGTGAAAACTAGTTAGCAGACCATTGAGAAGTTGAAATAGTTAAAGTAACTATGGTACAAATGTTTTTCAGAAAAAAGGTGAAAATAATATACAATGAATAATTCATGTTACATTTCATCTCACCCTTATTGGTGCAGGCGATCCACTGTAAAGGTGTGACGTCATAGTTGTGCTGGCCCACTGAAAAGGTGAATACTCGAACCTTTGGTAGGACAAATGAGGAAAACATTTGACTCTACAGAGTAAGATACCACAATTTAAAAAATGCCTGATGAAAGTTAAAGTTGTTATGATCAGAAGAAACGAACCGTTTTGTTGGGCCAGTTGTACTGCATGAACACATCCTGAGCCCTGTCTTCGCCTCCATCAGTAAACAGCATGATTATTTTATTGCAGTTGGCCCGAGGGACATTTGTCTTCTATAAAAGTACATTTAAAAAGGTAGATGAATAAGTGAACAGTGGAAAGACAGAGTGTGGAGACATCGGTATTGAAATCATTCCTAGTCTAAATCAATATATGACTTACATTTAACAGCTGGTTGAAAGCAAAATGAAATCCAGACTTGTAGTCAGTGGTGCCTTTAGCCTGCATCTGAATCACAGCATCTTTGAAGATCTTTTTGTTGCGGACGTTAGCCTGGACAAGATGTTTGAAGCAGGGAACCACGGCCTCGGCCTTCTCGTTAAACTGAAACACAGCATGAGACACAGTTTGAGCTTTTTTATGTCAAGATTGAAGGAAACAAGGAGAGCAAAGCCAAGGGACAGAGATGTTAAATGATGGAGAATCAGTGATGAAGCAGATTCTTACCCTGGCCACATTGACATAGTCATCATCAGACAAAGTGTCCAGCAAGTCCTCCACTGACGCTTTGATGAGTTTCAGAGTGAGACCACTGACACTGCCGCTCCTGAGGAAACATATAAGTATCAAACCAATCAAATGCTTAGTTACAAACATGGCGCTACAGCAAACACACCTAAGAATATGATTTTACATAAACGTCTGTAGAATTATGCAGCAGCACATGTTTCAGACTGGCTAATTATTCTTTCCTAATCTAGCTGTCTAACACTTTGTGCAAAGTATTTACGGAGATTAATTTGTGCCCCACATGAATGGAGAATACGTGAGGAGAAAAAGCATTTCCGAAGGCTTTTCACATGCTTCCTCCAGATGTTCAATCACAAACATGATTTCCCCTGATTAATCTACATTGATACATTTGTTTTGTTTGGATTTCTTTCTCCTGTGCTTCGCAGTCCACAGAGGAAAGCACTAATGTACAGTTTTCTAATAGAGTGTTTGTTTTTACTAAACATAATTTTCAGCAGTGATGCTGAAATTGCTAGTATAAAACACCCGGGAACATATGAGCAAACACTACTCAGTAATTATACTCTGATGTCCATAAGTACTGTATAAATATAGAGGCAGTGATTTTCAGGGTTTTGGCCTATACTTAATTCAGTAGTTAGAGATTGTCCTCTGTTTATAAATCAATGTTTCCTATTTGTGACTGAATATATGGTTGCCTTGGTGACCAAGGTGTTGTACATGTGATATACTGAGTGGACAAAAGGTCATTTTTGAGGGCAACTCTTAGATTTCACTCATACAATTCAATAATAGGATTAACCTTCAGAGAGTTCCAATGACCGCCGCAATGAAACAACCACTGGGACATTACAGCGACAACAACAGGCTGCTGTACTCGACCCTGAGTTTGCTTACACTCTGCCAAACACACTGTACTACCTGATTCACCATGGAAACAGGAAACATTGCTCTGATCATGTTAACTATTAAGCAAAAGTTTGAAATGTGGGGAAATACACATATCCAAACAAATGAGCGTGTTTCACCAAATTACTATTCCTCTAAATGGTCAAGTTCATTTCACAATAAACTGTTTGTTGTGGGGTTTTATCAGTTACAAACATCATGTACCAACAATTTAGATTTTGCTCGTGACTCTTTTGATCATCTCTAACTTGACCTTTACGTTGTTGTTACACATGATAAGCGATATGAGCTGCACTCTCAGCTGGTTTCGGTGCGGAGTCAGTGCCAGGTACACGTTTTTTCCACTACAACATGACTTTCTCTAGTTTAGCTGGGACCAGAAGCACAAAGAAGCTGCTCTCTAATGTGAAGTTACACCACACATGGTTTTCTCACTTCACTTGTGAGTTGGAAAGAACTGCAAGGAAGGCTGAGAAAAACTTGTCAGATGGATTTCAACACAATTCATTATTTATAAATGCAGAAAAAAGGGAAGGTTTTATGCGTTTTGTTAAATTCACAGGTTATGCAGCAATAAAAGCAACACACGTGTGCTTTATGGAGGTATTAGATGCTACATGGGAGCTTATTACTAAAACCAAGAAACTTCATGAAATACTTACACATCCACAAGAATGACCATATCTTTGGGGGACGAGGCTCCCTGGATGTACCTGTGACAGAGGGAAGATAGTATGCAGTATGTTAATCTGCTGCACATGTGATAAAACATCATGAAAATGTGTCTAAAGCAGCATACTGTACCAGGGCCCCCTCCTGACGTCATAAAGGTCAATTTTATTGGGGGTCTTCCAAGGTGAAGCTGAAAAAATGAAAATAGGTTTTCCTCACATTACTTATCAATTTGAGTTTGCCAACTGTTCAAATATATTAAACACAATCATGTCCACTAAAAAGCACAGGAAGGGTTATTAAAAGCTACCTGGGTAGTAGCGAGTGACGCCCGTCGCACTGCCAAACGCCTGCCACAGAAGGGACGGATCCTCCTGACTGTTCTCCATGAAAACTTTCTCCAGCGCCTGCGTCCAGTTCAGCTCATTCAGAATGACTGGAGCTGATGGGAGGAGAGAGAAAAGGAACACACTAAAGGTGAAAATGGTTACTAATAAATTAATAAATGTCACCATGAATTTTGAATTTCATGTTAACAAGTTTTCTGAAAATGGATTTTGAAATGTGCAAATGAATTGAGCAAACATTTGATAACACCAGGTTCATATTGATCATGTTGTTGATATTTTATAGTCAAAGGTTTTTAACCCACATTAAGATAAAAACACTTTGTATTGCAATCTTTCTGAAATATAAAAGTGCATTGGGGCATTTTCTTATCTACGTAGTAATATAAACACCTAAATAAGTATTTTCCACCATTCTGAAAGAAGTCATGTTATGAAAGCAATACAGCCCAATATCTCAAAATTGACAAGTGAATAAAATAACAATGTGTTTGTCTGTGGTGTCTCGCCCTAAACTTCTAAACTTCTCGTAAAATATGTCAAATACATCAATCTAAATCACAAGAACATGGCTTCATTCTGTGCAGCAGGACAATTAATTAAATAGTCGTAACTTCACTTGCCTCCTTTATAAATATCTGTAGGAATCTGAACAGCTGTGTAGGAATAGTTGACATCGTTTTTGAAGTTTGCATCGTAGACAAACTCCAGCTTGATGTGCGAGGGGTTTTCCACCTCTCCTTCTCCTTCCATGGAGTACTTTGAGAACAGGAGAAAACATACATGTCAGATCATCTTCTATCATCAGCATTAACATTAAAGCTACTTATTATTTACTACTATTAATTATTTTATTATTTGTTTGAATAGGAAATGTTTTATCTTCGATTGATCAAATAATCTCCAAAATGCTGTGTGTTTGTCTCCTGCTCACATAATCCATCTCTGCCTTGGAGTCATAGTAAGCCATGTCCAGCTCCTAGGAGGAAAGATGCAGATATGCAGATTTGAGGAGGCTGTAATGTTGGCAAACATGAAGAACACGAGGGCTAGTAGTCACTCAGTATGTACATGCAAACAGGTCAGGGCTCCCCTATACACAAAGAGGAGTTACAACTAAAGATTGTTCTGATTGATTATAATTAAACTTCAGTAAAGATGAACCCTATGAAACTGCATTTTTGTTTTCAGATTGTCTTCTATTTTCCTTATAAATCTTTCATTAGCTTCAAATATAAATGTTATTTTCATGTTTTCAATGAAAATCTATGATGTGAATAGTTTCAGTCAAAATATATGAATGTAGAATAAAGGTCTAGCTTCAAAGCCGCTTATATAAAAAAAACGTTTAGTTTACAATGTTATAAAAATCGAGAAAAGCCTCACATCATTGTATTTTGTAAGTTCTCACCACCAAGTGTTTGCTATTGTTTCTGCTCAGTACTGTCACATTATGACTCAGCAGACATCTGTTGGTCTTAGTTTCTGAAGAGACCTAACATACTTCACAATAAGCCCGACATCTACTCCAAAGCTTCTATGCTCCTATTTATGGCTTTGCCTATATTACATTTCAACTTCAATCAAGTCTCTTTGTCGGCTGTTTGTTGCCTACGACCCGTCCTACGAGGAGTACAGCTCTGAAAACAACCAGCTTTTTTCAGTCAGTGATTTTTATCAAGTGAAATAGCTCCTGTCCTTTGCTCACGGAGGGGCAAATAAGATAAGATAAGATGGACCTTTATTAATGAAACATAACGCACGGTTAAGCTAACTCTTCTTGATGAGGATCATTGTCCAACTAACAAAAAACATTACCTTTAGAACAGTTCCTTTTTTCTTTTTATTCTTCCTCAGCCATAAAAACATTTAAGCTACAATTGATTTTAAATGTATTTAAATATGGATGCATATTATAAATACTGGATACGTAAATCTAGTAGATACCGAAAACTCATGAGGTAGGAAATCAATCAGAAAGTGGCATCTTTTGGAAAATGGTCAACAGGTTTAAAAAAGTCTTCATCATTATTTAATTATTGGGCTCAATTATGTAAAACTACCAGTGTCTTTTGAAAGGATAGAGGGACACAGCGACTGAGAGAAGAGGCTTTGAGAGGCCATGTGAAAGGATGAGGTTAACCGTTAACCCCATCTCATTTCGCTGGGCAAATGGGGGAGGCCGAGTGGAAGAGTGATGTGTTCAGGACTCAAGGGAAGCGCACGGCTGAGTGCGCTCGGTCGTCTGTTTCAGCCAGCTGAGCGCTGCGGGATCTGATCTGCCCAGCTGACTGGTGAAAATGTTCCTATTTATCCGGTCATCCCATTCGGAGCCGCAACGCTCCAAGACATCAGACCCATCTGCTCTGAATTAACATCAGTGGTTTCATTTGAACACATAATGTCCCAAAAACTTAACAGACAAATACAAGTTTTGGGGTTTGAATACATGGTTTGAATACATGAGAGGAAGCAACATCAAAAGCTCTCAATAATGCAACAAACATAATGTTATTTAAGGTTTTACCTTAATTCCATCCTGCCATATATGCTCTCGCTGGAGCCGCTCTGCTTCACTGGCTAACCTCTACATGTTGAACACAGAGAAATGCTCACATTAGAGGAGGAGGACATGTCTGATTGCATAAACAATATGTTTCATATTTGTCAGGAAAAAAATGTAGAATTACAACGACAGAAACATTTACTTACAACAAGTGCTTTGCGCTTCTTAGCCAGGAGTTTCTCTATATCTGAGGCCACCTTCTCCACAATCCTCCGAGGCTGATTCTTCACCAGACTAAACCGTCGCCTTTCTTCATTGTATATCTGTTGAATTAAAAAAACTAAAGTTAAAAACTGCAGTAACAGCTGAACAGTCAATCGATTAGTCGGATTGTTATGGGCTGTATCTGTGATGTGTTCCCTGAAAATGCTAATTTTCGATGTAATGACATTGTTTGTTCCCTCGGTCAAGCTGTCAATAAACCTTCAGTATTGTGAGACATCAGTTCCAGCTAAAATAATAATTTTCAATTCTGTATTTTGTACTGTTTTTTTTTGATAACTAAAGAATCAAACAGTTAAATAAACGGATGAGGAGAATATCGAAGCCCCAGGATCTCAGAACAACCCTGATAATAATTATAATTCACAGCTCATGAATTTGCAAAAGCAAATCCTTTTTATATCCAAACACTGAGGACGCAGGGGAGCAGTCACATCTCGGGTTTGTCTGTTCATTCCAAATCTAAATATGGATCCTTTCATGTGATCTAGTCACAAATACTGTCTGTTGTCTTTGAAGGAAGTTTTCACAGATAACTCACAATACTGGAATTTCATACCAAAATGACCATCGTTGCATTCATTCTCTTAGTCATAACATATTTGTTTACATAAAAGAACGTATCAACTGTACACAACATTTTATCCTATGCTGTTAGAGAACAATGAACTAGTCTTTGATTATATTTTAGCATCCAATCCAATCCATTGTGTGTCTCTACTTTGTAGACAGATTCCCTGCTGATCGCTTAGAGCCTGGCGTATTCCTGTGTCCAGAGATAATACTTCCTGTATCGCCCTCAGGCTACAGGACCAGTTTTCCATGACATCCTCCATTATCTCTTCTCAATTATGTTTACGACCCGTTGGAGTTGGAAAAATATGCAGAAGGAAGGAGAATTCGCCAGAACTGACCGTGGCTTACAGCGCGAACACTTCTCTGTGTTGTGTTTAATGACATTGTTTATTCCCCTTGGCCAAGATGTCAATAAACCTTCAGTATTGTGAGACATCAGTTCCAGCGTCCAGCATCCTGTTTTTGTTATTGCTTAAAATAATTTACATTTAATAGAAGTTGGTGTGAAATGATAGACATTTAAAACTGTTAACTTTGGCCAAACACAGACACATTGTGGCTTGGTCCAAAAAAGTTAGTGTGAGAAGTTGATGGAAAAATCTTTAGATCTATTTTTTTCCCTCTGCCAATAATACATTTCAGTTAAGGTAAAGATTGATCTTTATTTTATGTTCCTATCTTACCACAAACATGACACATATTTCCAAATAGTGAGTAAGTTGTCTTACTACAACACACCACAAAAGTCTATTTTAATGTAAGTAATGTAAAATAACTGCTTGCCCTTTCCTTGACGTTCTGACTTTGACCTAAAGTTTACTTATTCATCAAGATTCTGCTCTTAATGCTCCTCTTCAGGGCAACTGAAGTCAAATCAGACCTTTAGTAGAAACACGTCACAGTTATCGTGTGAAATGTGGTCTTTCAACATTATTGCAGTAAAAGTAAGTATTTCTAAGGATTTATTACACCAGTTTTCTTTATGGGTAATCTGGCAATAACAGCATGAAGCAGCATGAACAACAAGAGCAATTTTCTGAGTAACTGTTTTCTTTCAAATTCTACTTTTAGAGAAAGCTTGGTGTAGAAAATGTCGGTACCTGGCATTAATTACTGCCTGTTTGCACATGCTGAACACATCTGTTCAGGAACTAAAAGGAGCACAGGGAGGAACTTTCATCGATTTTACTGGCGACTGCAAAAATGCAGACCTCTCCAAAAAAGAATTACACATTTTATGATATGCTTGGTTTTGCCTGCAATATCTAACTTCAAAAACACTGTTTACAGCAGCAAACAGACAGTGTAAGGTATTGAGTTCATGTACAGTCAGCCCAGAGCCCTACATTTTTCTATAGTCTAAAAACTGTGTCTTCAGCTGTATACTACTACACACCACTGTGACTGGAAGGTAAAAAGGTCCATTACCTTCAGATATGAAGGTAAACAAAGGGAACAGTACTACTTTGCTATAAGCTTGCTGTCCAGCAGATTTAGGGCCATCAGACACAGTTCCTTGTGAGAAAATGACAACAGACAGAAAGTGATATTGATTTAAAGCAAACCTGCATATCTTGAGTACGACAGCCCTCTACTGTACATATAGACGACCTTAACAAATAAACTTCAAAATATCCCTCAAGTTGTTACTGACCAGTTGCTCTATTGGCTCAAACCGCACAGATGGGAACATGCAGTAAAGAACAGCATGTATCTGTGAACTGGCTGCTGATTAGAATAACTAGGTCCTCTGAAGAATGTATTCAGAATCAAGATATACTGATGAAGATGACTCAGATAAAACCTTTAGCAAACCAGCCAGAAATAAGGAGTCCATACTATCACAATAACCCCATTACACTTCAATTCAATCCACAAAGCAACATTATGAATACTATTGTACCTTAAAAAATAGAATGGCCCTGTCCTCCAGATAATCATGTTTTCAGGCTTTCTTTAATCAAAAACAGGCCAAAACTAATTGCATTTCACAGAAAAGCAGTCCTGCCAACCTGCAACAAAGCAGTCTGGAAAAAATAAAATCCTGATTTAGAGCAGGGCTGTATCACAGATGGCATCAAGAATATCTACAAAGGAAAATGGTGGCTTTATATTGGTTGAAGAATTGAAAACGACGTTTGGTTTAAATTATAAGCGTTTCCTTGACCGAAGAAGATTGAATCGAGTTTTTTCTGGGCAGAGGCGAAAAAATTCATTAACAGATCCAGAGCCTTTCAGGAGCATGAGGGGATTAATGAGGACTGACTGAACAAGGGTGTCTCACATCGAGGCATTACTGCAGGCTGCAGGCTGACCATCTGCTCTGCTGTGACACAACAGAGAGACACGTGCCGCTGCTCTGCTGAGGGAACGCCTCCACACATCTCCTCGGAGCAGGGCTCTCTGCAGATGATCTTTGGTCCTGTTTTATAGCTTTCAGCCTCTCAGGGACAACTCCTTATGTCCAGCCAACCTGTTACAGCATGGTGTGAAATAGCTGTATTGTATTCCCATCATGACAATTTCACTTACTCAGATCACTGTGAGAAATCAGGTGGAGATTTGAGCAATAGTATTTGCCATGCATTTGACAGGTCTGAAATACCAGAGGACACTTCATGAACTTGGTCAATTGTTCCACAAAGGTCCTTTTTAGATTACACCATAAAGGACTGCAGTTTAGTTATCAATAAACAAGAAATTTTGTTTGGTGTTTTGATTTTGAAAGAATCCTTAAACAATAGATTGATACTAAAAATAGTTGCAGATTCATCTATTGATCTAATGACTAATCTGATTGTTTCAGCCCTAAATGATTTCCCCCAAAACCACTTAGAGTGCAAAGATACAGCCAAATAAGTATCTTCATTTTAATTTCTATCTATCATTGCTATCTTTGTCGTTCTTGAAAGAAGACTCCTTTTTATGTGCCAAGCTTTCGAGATATCTTTCACACATTTATCCATGCTTCTTTTTTGCTCACACATTTTTTTGTAGTGCTCTCAGCATTGAACTTGAACCTTATCTGTTAAAAATGTAACTAAGACATCTCTAAACAAAGAAATTGTTACTTTGGATGATCCACAGACTTCGTTGGCCACATTTTCTACTTTTGCATAAGACATGGACCATTTTGTATTCCTTACATAAATCAGATTACCTGGTTAAACCATTAAAGATACATGAATACAAAGTAATGAAAGTGAATGTTATCACTAGTAACAAATACATCACATAAACAATACTAGATATTCAACATCTATTCAGTGTGTGTGGTTCTGTGAATATTCAGGCATCTCTTGTAGGAATAAAGCCATGTGTGCAAGATAATGACTACAAATAATAGATAACGTGCCAGCAAGACGGGATTTTATGTCTGGAAAGAAAATCATTGTGTTACTGGCTGATCACATATCTGCATATCATTAACACATTCAAAAGAAATGAATTCTAAAAGGCAGACTGTAATTGTTTAATGTTTTAGCTATAGCTCTGAAGCTGAAAAAGAGAGCTACACACTCACCCCTTTCAACTGCTGAGCTCCAGTGATGTGCTGAAAGACTCTGTCAATCTCCTGCTCGATACGCCTGGCCCAGTGCATTATCCTGTGGATAAACATCACAGGCTGACTGTCACACCACTCAAACAAATGACAAAGATACGAGTGTGTGTGTGTGTGTGACTTTCACAAAAGTAAGCATTGATACAACAAATAGCTGTTAATAGCTTATTAAAACCCAGATTAGGAACAAAATGCTTTATTAGAAACAATTTATGAGGAAACGGTAAACAGTGTTAATGGTAAAGTATAGTCAATTGAGTCAATCATTACTTCAGTGCTGTATTGACTGAGAAAGAAGCTGGTAATGTCTGAGAAGTCCACACCTTTTGAAAACAACCCTGCTCACCTTGTGCACTTATCAACAATATCTATTTAGGAGAAGAAAACACTAATCACGCCAATTCAGGGCTTCTTTAAACGACAAGAGGAAAAGAAAAGAAGATTAGACAACTGGCTGTTGATGGGAGTAAGCCTTGTTAATGTTAATATTGCTACCTAATCAGCTTTGTTGACTCATCATCATAATTCTGTGAAAGGATATTAGTGGAGCTAGGAAACATACAATTTGCTACATCCTAATTATATAAGTGTGTAAACAGCCTTAAAAACCTGCTGCGACAGCCAACATCACTCAATGTAAGCTGAATTTCCTGGCAAATCCGCCAAAATAGAGCAACTAATGAGGCAGAAAACTAAACATCTATGAGTATAACAACTGGGGCAATTTAATGACAAAAATCCAGACAGTGACAGTCATTACGAGCAGCAACTGTCTCTTATTGTCAGGGATCTAAGGAATATGATGTTGATTGAGCTATGAGGATTTTGCATTGTGAAGATGCTCTTTAAACACATAACTGCAGAACTATTTTGGTTGTGTTCTCTTTTTGGTTGAACTACACAGTGCTTGTATCCATCGTATCCAACCCTGTGTTCTCACTTCTGAAACAGTAAGTGTTGCTTGAATCCTAACAATCTAAAAATCTAAAGATTGAAATGTGTAATAATTGTAAGTTGTGAGCATAATATTGGCATAGTTTAACATCTGAAGTTGATATGGTTAATGTGTTAGCAAACAGTTACACATCCAGCAGATACCGAACATTATTAGTATTCATTTGGAGTTTTGCCTCTGGCCACATCCGAATGTCACTAACTCTCTTTCCGCTCTTCAGAAATATCATGCTCTCTGGCAACTAAATGCTTCAATGTGTTCACCAGCTAGTCTCTAACTGAGCCTGTCTGTCATATGCTGCTCCTTGGTACATTTTTGAAACTTTTTTCTTTTGAAAAATCTGCATGGTTCGTCCAGAAACAATGCTATGAGAGCAGTGCTCCATTTTAAATTGGAGGTATTGCAGGATAATGTTTAATGCTCCACAGCAGAGATATTTGACGAGTGGAAATCAAGCAAGTTGAACATACAAGAAAGAAAAAAAACATAAACGTACTCACCGACACCCTTTGTTTAATAAGATTCACAAAAGGGGCCGAGAAAATATATATAATTTACATTGAACATGGCTATAGTGAACCTCATGTTGATGGTAGAAAGGCAAGAAGACTTTTCTGTAGGTTTATCAATACCAGTAACTTTTCTTGGTTCAATTGTTATCATAAAAATATCATTTTAAAGATGCTTAACATATTTTTGCTGGGTTGACATGGAAATTCAAGTAATTTTTTGTTGTGGTTCAATATATTTTTGCATAATATTTAGATTAGTACTAGAAAATCATGCAGTAGATTTCCTTTGAACAACAAGTTCCGCTACAGTGGACTGCATACTTGATACTAATCCTTTACTGTAGAAGTCTCGCAGTTTTTCCTATGCTTCCCCACATTTCATCCTATTGATTTTCTTTATGTCTCAACAATGTTATACTACAGTCTTTTGAAAATAAAAGAACAACATGAGCTGTTTTTGTTAGAGAGAGACACCGTGCAGTTTTGTTGGAAATAAATCAAGTCAGCAGCAGAAACACCGCTGATAACAACCACTGCGTGGACGACTGCCAGAACCAGATTTTGTCTAAAATGAGAACGAGAAAGAACAACTGGGTGATAAAAGGTTTTAGACCCTTGCTTCAGCACTCCTACCAATACCTCTGTTAAATGTCAACTCCAACACAGAAATCCCACCCACCATCCGCTGCAAACCAGAAACGGCAGAACCACCGGAGCACTGTAAAGCACATGTGCCTACGCAAACCAACGCAGTGCTTCTATTATGATAAAAGAGGGGGAAAAAGCTCACTGAGCATTTTCATGAAATGTGTATTTTTCCTTTACATACAGACATTGGAAGAAACTGGGAAACTAAACTGGCCTTGTTTAACGTGTGTGGACCTATCTTTCAAAGACACAATCCTTTCCGCAATGATATTCTTTTTTTTAGATTAAAGTAACATAGAAAACAGAAAAAGTGACATTTAATTCAACCCACGTTTTGAGATCCCCCAGCTAACTTACTTGACCCATATGATCATAATAATACGAATAATTTGCATTTGAGATAAAGGGGAACAAAAATGCTTCAATTTGTATAAATATGTTTATTAAGCCAGCTATAAGGTGCTTGAAGAGCCTGGAAATGCACCTGAAATGCTTGAAATTAGCTTCTATTTTGAAAAGGTGTCGGAAATATTTAGTAAGCAACATAGTTGGGTGCATAGAGTACATTTAAAAACATGCCTAGCCTAAACCGTCCTTATGTTTCTCTCCTCAGCTGGAGGCCTCGTATCTCCCCTCTTCTGGCGCCCTGTGTGTTCCTGGTGTGTGAGCGGCACCGACGCGAGGCGTCTGATTGGTTCCCCTAGATCGACGTGCTGCCTAAAACCTACACATGTCCCGCCTACTTCAGCGATGATGTCATGGCCGTTCTGCCAACCAGCGTGCAGAGAAAAGCTCTGGATCAGAGGGAGGAGGTGAGAGGAATCCACTCCTCTCACCTGAGCCTGTTCAGGTGGGTCTCTCTCTCTCTCTCTGAAACCAGTCACACAGGTTGTTCAAAACACCGTTCAGATCAGATTAGGATTTAGAGGTAATTTTAACAGTTGCTTAACTTTAGTTTCAGAAAGGAAGATGTTGAGACTTGTTTGCATTAAGATGAGTACTCACAAGATCTTTATTGTCATTACACGTACAACAACGTTTTTTAGGCTTCTCTCTCTGCAGTTTAAATAAAAGCAGTGATCAAAGCAGTAAAGCAGCAAAGAGAAGATTACTCAAATAGAAGGCACTAGTTCAAATACATTTACAAAGTTACAAAATGTACAGGCAAAGGTAGAAAAGGTTCAGATTTAGTTTAGAAAGGGATTCTTGAGGTACTGAGTGTTTGTGTTCATGGTTGGTTGCATTTATTGTACGTTGCTTTGGATAAAAGTGTGTGTATTGTAATGTAATTATTGATCCAGATCCCTGCAGCCAATCCTGAGTCAGCCTGTGGAGGAGGTGCTGACATATGAAGCATTAAGGTACACACACACACACACACACACACACACACACACACACACACACACACACACACACACACACACACACACACACACACACACACACACACACACACACTACT